TGTCTGGGGCTGTTCTACCCATCGGCTTGGGCGCCGCCCTCACTGCTGGGGTGACACAGAATGCACGACGCAGCGTGAACTGGGACTTCTCATGGCCTTTCCCAGCATAGACACCCCGAGCTGGCTTCCTTTCTGTCTGCGCTTCACCGTCCAGCCAAGAGAGTCTGCATCGGCTCCCACCCTTGCCTCTGGCTGACAGTGCGGCTTGACTCCCCTGCGGATGCTCAGGAAGGGCTCCCTGTGTGAGAAGCAGGGCCGGATGCAGAGCGACTCCTCTCAGCGTGAGCAGAGATCACGGACGGCACTGCACCCTTCGGGGGATCACCGCCGCAGTTTGTGCCCGGCCAGGGGGTGGCCAGCCAGTCTCAGGGCACAGGAGAGCGCCACACACACGCACACTTGTCACACGTCTGCTCTTACACCCGAACACGCATACATGTGTGTACACGTGTACACAGGCGCACATGTACCTACTCATGTGCGTGCATAGCTGGTCCTACAAGTCTGCTCTCAGGACACAGGAGAGCGCCACACACACACACACACACACACACACACACACACTTGTCACACGTCTGCTCTTACACCCGAACACACATACATGTGTGTACACACATGCACAGGCGCACATGTACCTACTCACATGCACACACAGCTGGTCCTACAAGTCTGCTCTCAGGACACAGGAGAGCGCCACACACACACAAACATGCACACACACTTATCACAAGTCTGCTCTTACACACACCGGGTCACACATACGTGTGTGCACACGTGCACAGGTGCATATATACATATTCACATGCACACACACAGCCGGTCCTGCAAGTCTGCTCTCGGCACAGGAGAGTGTCATGCACATACACACACATGCACACTTGTCACACGCTGCTCTTACGCACACCTGAACACACATGCATGTATACATGTGCACATGTACCTAATCACACGCACACATGTACACACAGGCATTTCTGTACGGGACGCAGCTGTGAACAGGTGAACAGACTGTACTCACGAGGTGCCGAGCTGCAAACACGCCATCCACAACTGCACAGCAGAAGGCCGCCACCACGCCGAAGCTGATGAACACGATGGCAGCCACCAGCTGGAAGCAGAGACAGAGGCGGGTTCCAGGCCCCGCCAGGGAGTCCCAGTCTGCCATCAGGGCCCCATGGGTAGTGGGGCACCTGGGCTGGCCCCTCCAAACCACAGCGAGGTGGCTGCAGGTGCAGCCCTCACAGGGCTCGGGGGCGCAGTGCAGGGAGCATGCCCTCATGCCTGAGAAGACGCCCCGTGCAGTGGGAGTGGGCCTGCCCTTACGTGGCGTTGCCCTCCCACACGTGTGGCTATGCTGCTCGCACTGCCACCCAGCGCACCACTCCTCAGACACTTACATGTGTGGGAGCTGCTCAAAGTGCTAGGAGGTCAATGACGGAACCACAACATCCGCGATCAGCACTCAGCCCACCAGGGCACCTGGTCCGGCCTCACTGCAGACTCTGCAGCAGCTGGGCAGCTGCCGTGCACACACGTTCCAGGTTACAGGAGCGCCCCGAGAGCCCTCGCACACGCTCTGACCCAGCGCCCCTCGGAGGGCACGTTCCAGGTTACAGGAGCGCCGTGGGAGCCCTCACACACGCTCTGACCCAGCGCCCCTCGGAGGGCACATTCCAGGTTACAGGAGCGCCCCGAGAGCCCTCACACATGCTCTGACCCAGCGCCCCTCGGAGGGCACGTTCCAGGTTACAGGAGCGCCGTGAGAGCCCTCGCACACGCTCTGACCCAGCGCCCCTCGGAGGGCACATTCCAGGTTACAGGAGCGCCCCGAGAGCCCTCACACACACTCCGACCCAGCGCCCCTCGGAGGGCACGTTCCAGATTACAGGAGCGCCGCGGGAGCCCTCGCACACGCTCTGACCCAGCGCCCCTCGGAGGGCACGTTCCAGGTTACAGGAGCGCCCCGGGAGCCCTCGCACATGCTCTGACCCAGCGCCCCTCAGAGGGCACGTCTGGTGCTTCACTTCAAACTGTGGGTGCAGAGCGCCCTGGCCGGCCCCGCAATGCTCCTGCCCACTCACAGACGCCGCCTCCTTAGGTCCTCAGTGACACGGGTATGTTTTAAAGTTTTGACAGGCTCATGGACTAAAAATCTCATCATTTCAATGTATATCCCCTGGCTGTGAATGAGGGTGGGAGCCTTTCTTTCTCATATACCCGTCCTAGGGCTACAGCGCGGCTTCCCAGCACGAGCGTGGCGGGTGTCCCCCCCCCCGCCCCTCGCCCCCACCCTGTCTCCAGGGTCTGCAGTCGCCCTCCTGCAGTCACCGCGCCTCACCCTCCAGTTCCTCCCCCTGCCCAGGCTGCTTCCTGCCACCCCCTCAGAAATCCCGAGCCTGCCCGACTGCAACGGCCGTTGGTATGAACAGTCCGGCACTCAGAGGAGCAGGGTGCAGAACCGCGCCCTGAGCGTGACAACCGAGGGCTAGCACACAGGGGCCGGCTTGGCAGGGGCACAGTCCTTTCAATGATCAGTGCTGGGACAACTGGATACCCACATGCGAAAGAATGAGAGGAGCCCTACCTCACACCACACACAAACATTGACTGATGGTGGGTCAACAGCCTTGACCTAAATAGAAGAGTTAAGAAATAAAACTCTTCTAGAAAAACATAGGGATAAATCATTGTGCCCTTAGATTTGTGATTTTGTTATCAAAAGCACAAAAAGCAAAGAAAAGAGATAAACTGAACTTCGTCAAAACTGAAAATATTCCTGCCTCAGAGCACACCATCAAGAAAGTGGAAAGGCCACCACAAAATGGGAGAAAATGTTGCCCGTTTTGTATCCAAGAAGCAACTTCGTATCACAGTGCACAAAGGCTCTGACAACCCTCAACGAAAGGACAAGGAACACAAATGAAAAAGCAAAGGAGTGGGACCAGCAGTTGGCATAATGGCTATGTTGTTGGACTCCCACGTAGTCGACCATGGTTCGAGTCCCAGACCCGGTGACTTAAACTCACGTTGGGTGTGTGTGCGTGTGTGCCCAAGGTCCCAAGAGGAGAATGGAGGAGAAGGGATTGTGGCATGGCCATCCCCCCTGGGGAGTGTTTTCTCACTTTCTGTCTCTCTTTCTGGCGAGTGCACGTACCCTATAGCAAAAAATCTCTCCAAAAAAAAAAAAAAAAAAAAAGCAGAGGAGTGAGCACTTGCAAATGGCCAAGAAACACAAAAAGAAACAACACCTTTGGTTACTGAGGAATTCCAGTCAGGCCACAGTCAGGCCCACCTGGCACTACCGGGACAGCTGGAGAGAAGTAGACAACGAGGCAGGAGCAGGAGGCGTGGAGTGTGAGACAGCCCGCGAGGTGTGTTACCACGGACCCAGCATTCCGCCTCCACGTGTGCCCAAGAGGACGAGATCACATCCACGCAGAAACGGCACACGATCTGCCAGCCCATAGCTGAGACAGGAAACGGCCCCCGCTCGCCACTGGTGGGTAACTGCAATGTGCATCTACACCCAGTGGGGTACTGTTTTAAAGGGAGGAAGTTCCGGCGTGCACACGTCGGTGTGGATGAACCTTAAGGACACAGGCCGAGAGAATTAGCCCGATCCAAGGGACCACACGCCGCACGGTCCCGTCCCTAGGCAAGTCCTGAGCGGGGGCTGGCCGAGGCAGGAAGTGGGCTGGGGGGCCGTGTAGGCTGGGGTGGGAGCCGAGCTGTGGGGCTCTTCCATGTGAGGACGAGGGGGGAGTGCGCGTGGTCATGGCTCCACACAGCCATGGGCTCTGCGCTATGAGTGGGTGACGTGTGTGTGGGCACTGGGCCAGCGCAGGTCCACATGGCAGGAGGGCTGTGTGTGTCCACCTAGCCCACAGTCCCGCCCCGCCTCACACCCAAACCTGCCTCCCCGGGAGCCCACGAGAGCGCCGGGAACTCCTTGCCTGACACCACCGAGGGCACCGGGCGGTCCTGGACGCAGAGGAGGCCGGGCGGAGATGTGGGCTGAGCGCCCAAAGGCGGCCTCTGTCCCAGCACCTATTTCCCAGGCTCTGGGGTGGGTCGGCCAGTGCCACCTGGTCGGCTGTGTGGGCTCCAGAGCCTACCGCCCTGCGCAGTGCAGACACAGCCGCGTCACACTGCCCAGAGCCTCAGCCACCGCCCACCCTGCACGCATGCATGGCCGCACTGCACAGGGCAAATGCGGGGCCACTGGGTCCCGGGCTCCTCGCCGCCCCACCTCCCCACCCTCTCTGTGCTCTCCTCCCCCCCTGCTCCTCTCCCCTCTGCTCCCCTCCCCTCTCCCTGCTAGCCTCCCCTCCCCTTCTGTCCACTCCCTTCCCC